GGACAAGGACAAAGGCGAGGACAAGGGCGAGGACAAGGTCGAGGACTGGGCCATGACGGTGAGGATCATGATATGTGTTGATTTCCTTGTTGTAACAAAAGCATAACGTTTATTTAAACCTCATGGGTGAGAGTTCTTTGGAAAATAGTGAGTGAGTGAGTTAATAATATTTAACGTCACATTGGCAATGTTTCAGCCATATCGTGACGAAACAACTTATATAATAAAGATGAAAACATTTTTTAAGAGTAAAACCTGTCAACGATGGACAGTAAAAATACTATCACAGGTAGGAATATAAAACTAGCATGTAAAACTTAAACATTTTAATTAATGAAGACAATACAATATAAAACATGAACTATAGATCGCCAACAACTGAAGGTTGATCACCATACTAGGTCTTTGGAAAATAATTATTATATGAATTTTGAAGCATTGTGAATTTTCTTGTAAATCAAAGCATAAATCTGGCTCGATTTACCATCAATTTCAGCAATAAAAATACAAAAGTATGAAAACCATGCGTAGGCAAACATCTGTAAAGCGCTGGTGATCTAATACTTTGAACGTCTGTGCAAAAGAATACCAGCCCTGACTGTCCTTAGAAACAGATTTCACTTGGTGTGAAGGGCAAAATAACTGAAAATTACACCATTACTCTCATCGGTGACAAAAGGAAATGAAATGGATATTTGAAATTATTTCCAATAATATGAAATCTAACATCATACACATGTGAAACATTACTTTATTACTTTGTCTATCTTAAATCCACAATCATCATTATGGTATAATTATGTGTCATTGGTACAGATCTGAGGTACATGCTTCAAATCCACGATGTTGGTGGGAGTGACGTCGGACATGCACTGGACACTGACCGAAGAGTGGAGGTGGTGCACAGAGACATACAAGATAAGGTTATCATTCCCAATAGGAGTCCAACGAGGGAGGCAAGTGGACATCCACTGGACAAGCGTACAGTAGAGGACATAGGTAGGACCAGCAGAAAGGACATTGGCAAAGGAAATGATACAGATTTCAGATTCAATGAGACTAGCAAAAGATATGGTTCACAGGAAAACCATCGGATGCATTTAGTAAGGATGCGCAGATCTAGAAAAAGGCTCCATCCCGATAATAAGTCATCTGGACCGAGCTTCTTCCGAAATGATAGGAGAAGGTCAACGGATAGAGTCAGAAGAAAGAAACACAAATTGAATGTTGACGAAGATAATTCAACTAATCAAGGTTATCATAATCAAAGTGAGCCAGCTAGAAGGAACCTACCACCAGCTGAGATTGGAGCAAATATGCGAAAATACATCAAAGTTAATGAAAACGTCCAAGACAGGATGCAGTCTGGAACTCAGAGATACACAAATTGTGTAACCACAACCTCTGTTGAGCCATTGGACTCAGAAGAGAGATTAAAGTCATCAAGTACAGCAGAAAAAGAAGACCTGGCCAGTTTGATTCTTCGAACAGTATGTGTAGATTACCCTGGCAAGACTGATTTAGCAAATTTGAGAAAAACTCTTCACCAGAAAAAGATTATCAATTTTTCCAACACGCAAACTTTATATGAATTCTTGAAACCTTATGACAACGTTTTTGAAATGGAAGGAGACACTGACAGAGATGAGAGAATGATTGAAGATGGTGAAGTGGAGGAAACAGCAGCTGAGGATAAGTTTCTTGTGACTGGTCATCCAAATCTACTCCTGTGTCAGCAACATTCAAAGAAAGCAGGATCATGCATGCAAGATTGCAGGAGCCTTCACATCTGCAAATATTTCCTTCTGAGCAAATGTACCATGCAAGAACAGAGAAAGAGATGTATCTTTGGCCATGACATGAACACTGAACACAACAAAGAGGTTATGAGGAAATCGTTGTTGCACACATTCGAAACTGAATTTGAAATCGAAGTCCTGCGTTCACTGAGATATAGAAATTCCACAACTGTTCCAGCGATATGCAACTACTACAACAAGCCAAAGGGCTGCAACAACGCTGAATGCGGATTCATGCACGTATGTTCAAAATTTCTCCATGGAACCTGCAGTGCTTCATACATGTGCAATTATTCTCATGATATCACGGCAAACCATCCGTTACATTGTCTCCGACGTTACGGAATAAGTCCATCGAAACATGATGAGAAAGAAGTTGTTGTCAAAACCCTTAAATCCATAGCAACCAAAAAGAATCATCCAGTCGATCAGGGAAGACAAGTTCAGTCCTCAACTGAAACACAGAGGGGCATGTTCGCTGGTGGATACAACAAAAACATAGCCAAACCAAATAAACGGTATCAAGTCGCCAGGTATTTTCCTACCTTTGGATTTAGTACAAGTGGGGAAATGAAAGTATCAGAGAAGCTGACTAAAGCAAGAAACCAAAATGGACAGCTTCAGCTGGAAGCAAAAGAAAGACAGGAGGAGAAGGAACAAGAAGTCAATCTGAGGAATTCGTCGACAGGGGTTTGGACATGGTCATGGATGAGCCCAGAGGGAGCATGGAGCGATGTCACTGATGGTCACATATTAGAGGCTAGATACAGAGAATATATGCAAGCTAGGAAGAGGAGCTTTGTTATCAATGGTACAAAGTAAGTATGATTAAGACAGTTGCCGTTTTAACAGTTCTGGAATTTAATTACCTGGCGTGACCTTGGCTTTTCTCAGTATATGCTTTTGATGAGGAGGAAATAATTCAGACGTAAACACAGCGCAAATGCCTATGCCGTTGATCGTGAATACGGGTACATTCACAAACTATTTAGGTTTTCTGGAGTAAGGTTTCTTACGAATGCACGCTCTACGATAGTGAATGTTACAATCACTGGATTGTCTGGTCCAAACTCGATTGCTTTCAGACAACACCGTAGAGCTGTAATAATGCTGAATACATATTCATGATATTCTTCGACTCTGACTTCATCGCCACACAACAATATGGACATTTCAAATCTGATAGAAATGGGGTGGTGGAGTAGCCTAGTGGTTAATACGTTCTCTCATCATGTGGCGGTGGGATGGCCTTGTGGTTAAATCATTCGCTCGTCACGCCGAAGGCCTGCGTTCGACTCCGCATATGGGTACATTGTGTTAAGCCCATTTCTGGTGTTCCCCACTGTGATATTGCTGGAAATATTGCTAAATGGGCGTAACACCTTACTCACTCACTCACTTGACTCAGTGAATTAGTCATTACGGCGTGTCAGATCAAGAACAGGCAACAGGACGTCTGAATGTCCCCCGCCCCTAATCCACCCAGCAGAATGGCTGGTTGTGTAAACCGCTTATAGTAAACATTATGTCATGTCTTATAGATTTGCGTACTTCCAGGAGTATACCACTTGACGTTATTATGAGGTGTGAACGCCTTTTACATTTTGTCATTTCCATGAACTACTCTCGTTTTGACTTCTTAGAATTTATTCCTACAAAGGTTGCAGAGGCGTCCGCAACATTTTAATAGCTGAAGTCATTCCAAAACAATTAGACCATGTTTCCATGTCTCAATGATGAGCCAGGTGGTGTTATCAGATTATTCTGTTGCAGGTGTGAGGTGGACTTTGCCACAAAGACAGGCGTGATTGATGGGGAAGTTGCACTCAGATTCAAGAGAGTTAGGAAGCCAGAGTGTGACACAAAGTGCCCTACGCCAGACATAACGGACGACAGCCATGTCACCGATGTTGCCGGCTCTGATGCAGGTGCCAATGTGGGTGTTGCCACAATGACAGTAGTGATTGATGGAGAAGATACACTCAGCTTCAAGAGAGACAGGAAGCCAGAGTGTGACACAAAGTGCCCTACGTCAGACATAACGGACGATAGCCATGTCACCGATGTTTTCGGCTCTGATGCGGGAGCTGATGTGGATGTTGTCACAAAGACAGGAGTGATTGATGGGGAAGATGCACTCAGCTTAAAGAGAGACAGGAAGCCAGAGTGTGGCACAAAGGCCCTACGTCAGACATAACGGACGACAGCCATGTCACCGATGTTGCCGGCTCTGATGCGGGAGCTGATGTGAATGTTGCCACAAAGACAGGAGTGATTGATGGAGAAGATCCACTCAGCTTAAAGAGAGACAGGAAGCCAGAGTGTGACACAAAGTGCCCTACGTCAGACATAACGGACGACAGCCATGTCACCGATGTTTTCGGCTCTGATGCGGGAGCTGATGTGGATGTTGCCACAAAGACAGGAGTGATTGATGAGGAAGATGCACTCAGCTTCAAGAGAGACAGGAAGCCAGAGTGTGGCACAAAGGCCCTACGTCAGACATAACGGACGACAGCCATGTCACCGATGTTTTCGGCTCTGATGCGGGAGCTGATGTGGATGTTGCCACAAAGACAGGAGTGATCGATGGAGAAGATCCACTCAGCTTCAAGAGAGACTGGAAGCCAGAGTGTGACACAAAGTGCCCTACGTCAGACATAACGGACAACAGCCATGTCACCGATGTTTTCGGCTCTGATGCAGGTGCCAATGTGGGTGTTGCCACAATGACAGGAGTGATTGACGGAGAAGATACACTCAGCTTCAAGAGAGACAGGAAGCCAGAGTGTGACACAAAGTGCCCTACGTCAGACATAACGGACAACAGCCATGTCACCGATGTTTTCGGCTCTGATGCAGGTGCCAATGTGGATGTTGCCACAAAGACAGGAGCGATTGATGGAGAAGATGCACTCTGCTTAAAGAGAGTCGTGAAGCCAGAGTGTGACACAAAGAGCCCTACGCCAGACATAACGGACGACAGCCATGTCACCGATGTTGCCGGCTCTGATGCATGACTGACTGACTGACTGAGTTTAGTTTTACGCCGCTTTCAGCAATATTCCAGCAATATCACGGCGGGAACACCAGAAATGGGCTTAACACATTGTGCCCATGTGGGGAATCGAACCCGGGTCTTCGGCGTGACGAGCCAACGCTTTAACCACTAGGCTACTCCACCGCCCCGCTCTGATGCAGGAGCTGATGTGGATGTTGCCACAAAGACAGGAGTGATTGATGGAGAAGATGCACTCAGCTTAAAGAGAGACAGGAAGCCAGAGTGTGACACAAACTGCCCTAAGTCAGACATAATGGACAACAGCCATGTCACCGATGTTTTCGGCTCTGATGCGGGAGCTGATGTGGATGTTGTCACAAAGACAGGAGTGATTGATGGGGAAGATGCACTCAGCTTCAAGAGAGACAGGAAGCCAGAGTGTGGCACAAAGGCCCTACGTCAGACATAACGGACGACAGCCATGTCACCGATGTTGCCGGCTCTGATGCGGGAGCTGATGTGGATGTTGCCACAAAGACAGGAGTGATTGATGGAGAAGATCCACTCAGCTTCAAGAGAGACAGGAAGCCAGAGTGTGACACAAAGTGCCCTACGTCAGACATAACGGACGACAGCCATGTCACCGATGTTGCCGGCTCTGATGCGGGAGCTGATGTGGATGTTGCCACAAAGACAGGAGTGATTGATGGGGAAGATGCACTCAGCTTCAAGAGAGACAGGAAGCCAGAGTGTGACACAAAGTGCCCAACGTCAGACATAACGGACGACAGCCATGTCACCGATGTTTTCGGCTCTGATGCAGGTGCCAATGTGGATGTTGCCACAATGACAGGAGTGATTGATGGAGAAGATGTACTCAGCTTCAAGAGAGACAGGAAGCCAGAGTGTGACACAAAGTGCCCTAAGTCAGACATAACGGACGACAGCCATGTCACCGATGTTGCTGGTTCTGATGCTGATGTTGCCACAAAGACAGGAGCGATTGATGGAGAAGATGCACTCTGCTTAAGGAGAGTCGTGAAGCCAGAGCGTGACACAAAGAGCCCTACGCCAGACATAACGGACGACAGCCATGTCACCGATGTTGCCGGCTCTGATGCATGACTGACTGACTGACTGAGTTTAGTTTTACGCCGCTTTCAGCAATATTCCAGCAATATCACGGCGGGAACACCAGAAATGGGCTTAACACATTGTGCCCATGTGGGGAATCGAACCCGGGTCTTCGGCGTGACGAGCCAACGCTTTAACCACTAGGCTACCCCACCGCCCCGCTCTGATGCAGGAGCTGATGTGGATGTTGCCACAAAGACAGGAGTGATTGATGGAGAAGATGCACTCAGCTTAAAGAGAGACAGGAAGCCAGAGTGTGACACAAAGTGCCCTACGTCAGACATAACGGACGACAGCCATTTTACAATCTCCAAAACATGAATTCTAAGTGAACTAAACATTCTCGCCCATGGGCCGGCCCATGGGCAAGCGAGTTTAAATTTTGAGTTGACGAAAGAATTGGTTTTCATGTTTTCATCCTTAGCATATATTCATAACAACTGCATGTTTAATTTGGTCGAATCCCTTGTCAGAAAGTGTCCACAGTGCGGAGACTTTCTGGACTTTTGTGAGTCCAGAATTAAATTGTGACTTGTTATATAATTATGTATATTATATTAATCAGTCAATTCATATGGCGCAAAATCCACGCCGACAGCATGCACATAGCATAAGATTATTATTATCCCGGATAACCCAAGCTGCGTAGAAGGTTAATAGTCACATGACTTACCCCAACGGGTACCAATTTTCCGCTGGGTGAACAGAGACAATGAAGAAACCCACTTGCCGAAAGTGAGACCACATGTATCACTGAAGTCCTAGAATCTGAAGCTGAAGCTGAACAGTAGCTGAAGTTGTTCTTTGCAAACACTTTGTTTATAACGTAGTGGACATATTTATGTAAATTCCTGAAACTCGCAGTAATCATTCAGGGTGAAGATAAATATAAAGGCGGGAACGAGTTAATGGCCATGGTCAACCCCGGACGAATAATGAAACAAATAATATTATGTGGCTTTTACTGTGAACTCAACCAGAGGAGAAGACGCCACGCGGATGACGTCACTAATGGCGTTAAATGTTGACGTCAGCATTCCTTCTGTGAGCCAGCTGATATGATTCGTCGATGGTAAGAAGGTAAAGTCTACACAAGGGCTCTTTACCTGACGCCTGCTTCTTGAAGAACAAGAATAAGTTCCAAAATACCCTCAAGAACTCAATATTTTCAGGAACCTAACTTGAAGTTGACGTGGCGGCTTGAAATATGACAGAATAAACAGTATAGAAACACGGAATATTTGTTTTTTGTTTGCTTTAAACTAAACCAATCACCAGGTGAGTTAATGTATTCATTGGATCGAGTAAATCAGTGAGTTATCCCTTGACATGAGAAATGCAACATATGGATTTACAGTTGTGCAGTCAAATGTATGTTGCTGATACAATCACAAACTATCATGTCTGAACCGCCTCCGTGGTGTAGTGGTTAGAGCGTCCACCCGGAGAGCGGAATGTCGCGGGTTCGATCCCCGACCGCGTCATACCAAAAGACGTTAAAATATGGTACTTGTTGGTCCTTGCCTGGCGCTCGGCATTGATGGGTACAGCAAGGACTGGTCGGCTCGGAGTCAGTATAATGTGTCTGAGTGGGGTATTCATGCTTCACCGCGGCATGGTATCTCAGTGGGCTAGCACTATAAAACCAGCTTCAGTCTGGGCTAGTACAAGCAGCTGCACATACACATACACACGCATGCACGTCGTCATATGAGCGAAATATTCTTAAGCACGACGTTAAACCCAATTCCACCACCACCACCTATCATGTCTGAAAGTCACAATAGTGAGGGAGTGAATATGGTTTTACGCCGCTTTCAGCAATATTCCAACAATGTCACAGCAGGGGACACCAGAAATGGACTTCACACATCGAACCCTGGTCTTCGGCGTGACAAGCGAACGCTTTCACCACTGGGCTACCCTACCGCCCCGCATACAACAGAGAGGTAGTTACAACTCTGTCTCAATAAAACCCCGCCGCCCCCACAAACTTGTGGAGATACTTAGTGCGTGTGAGATTTCTTGACCAAGACAAATGAGTACAAATGAAATACACTTAATGTATTTTGTGTCCGAAAACGTTCAATACTTTGCAATACAGAAACACAAAAGTAGTAAAAATGGAAATACATGAGATTTGCGATGTTCAAACGCTATGAATACCAAATATGAATTTCTCACATATCTGCATGCATCGGGAGTGATTTGTGCGCGTAGAATAAAGTACCGTAAAAGTGGGGGAATCGCGAAAACGCAACCACGTGAGAGCAAGGGCATCTGGTATATATACTCATGCCAATAATGGTTGTCACCCCCTCCCCACCCCAACCTCATACCCCCTCTCCAATTAAAAAAATTGAAGGGGGTGACAACCATTATTGGCATGAGTATATAACAAACAACACATTGTTCGGAAAAAGGAAAGATGAATGGTAATAATTTAAATATGTAAACTGAGTTGCGTTACGTTGTCATTCGGCCTCCTTTTTTCCTAATTGCACAGAGGGGCCGGTGGGCTGACCCTGTTTCTAAAGCGTTCGCTAGTCACTCCGAAGACCCGGGTTCGATTCCCCATATGGATACAATGTGTGAAGCCCTTCTCCGGTGTCCCCCAGCGTGAAATTGCTGGAATATCGCTAAAAGCGGCGTAAAGCCACACTCATTCGCTCACTACTGGACCAAATCACCTCTGTAGTTTCGTTTCGTGCAGCAAGTATCTAAATATAGCCAGTGAATGGAATTACATGAGCGGAGGCATTATGTGCAATATAATGCAGGGAGTTAAACAGTGCAGAACAGAGGACCACACCTGTACTTGTCAAAACATGTACCCGTGAAGATCCGGGTTAGAATTGATCTTCAGTAACCCATGCTTGTCCTTGGAGGCGGCTAACGGGATAGGGTGGTCAGGCTCGCTGACTTGGATGGCACATGTCAGTGTATCCCAATTGCGTAGATCGATGCTCATGCTGTTGATCACTGGATTGTCTGGTCCAGACTCGATTATGTACAGATCGCCGCCATATAGCTGGAATTTTGCTGAGTGGGGCGTTAAACAACAACCAACCAACTAACCAGCAACAACATGTATGTATGGATAACGCACAAACAGTTCAATGTAAATAATTCTTCATCTTTTCAACTCATACCTTGTGGATATTTTGTTGAATACAAATTTCGAGTTATTTTGTACTGATTTTAAAGGGTGTATCTGGACTCGTGCCAAGTCTGGAGTCGGAGCGTCGCTTTGTTGGTCTCACCGTAATCACTGATTGTCTGAGCTATATCTTGACTCGTGCCAAACCCCGGGTGGGAGAGTCGTTTTTAACCTATATCAATAATCGACGTGTTACAATGAATTGCGTGAGCGCGACCATGGTGAATTAGCAGGCAAGGTAGCCCGGTTGAGCTTATGTCTGACAAGTATGACGTTATCAATAAAAAAAATGATTAATGAGTTTTAATCTCCCTTACGTGACACCATACTTGAGTTGCTAGGTGGAAAACCCCATTCTTATCAGTATGCACGTGATTCTCTATATCCATTTTATTAATCATTATGTACACAATGTTGGCAAGTGTGAATATTTTTGTCTTCCTTATCAATGGTAATAGTGAGTGAGTTAACATGTTAAGTCGCATCGGCGATATTTCAGCCATGTCGTGACTAAAAACAAATATTATAATGTTGTAATAAATCATGGTAAGTTATAAAATATCTGTCAGCGAAGGACAGTAAGATAACTAGAATACCACAGATATACTTGTAAAACCAGCATGAAAATCTAAAATATCTTAACTATGACAGACAATACAAAATAAAAAACGGGCTATAGATCGCCAACAATTGAAGATACATCACCATACTAGGGACCATGGGGACTGACAGTACCTTTGCTACCTCCATGAACCCATAGCTGGATTTACATCATTCCTTCAGATGTTGGTGATTTTTGCACAATTTAGCCATACATTAAAAGAACCTTGTATATAGTACGATAAAAAGCACGGAAAATGAAAAATACTGTGAATGAAATGGGACTGACATACCCTATCCGGGGGGACAAGGATAGTATATATGTGTCTTATGGGGTCGAGTTACGATGACATACAATCAAATACATGCAGATGTATGAGTGAGTGAGTATGGTTATTACGCCGTCTTAACAATATTGCAGCAATATCACAAGTAATGGGCTTCACACATTGTACCCACGTGGGGAATCGAACCCGGGTCTTCGGCGTGACCAGCGACTCTTTAAGCGCAAGGCTACCCCACCGACTCGCAAATGTATGTCACCTGATCAAGTTCGTCTCATGTCACGACAAGCACCTTTCTGACACGCGTCCAAACATAGGAACGGGTATTTCAACCTGTGCTGTATTACAGAATATCATGAGTGACTGGGTGAGTGAGTGAGCTTAGTTTTACGCCGCACTCAGCAATAGTCCAGCTATATGGCGGCGGTCTGTAAATAATCTGGACCAGACAGTCCAGGGATCAACACCATGAACATTGATCTACGCAATTGGGATACAATGGCATGTGTCAACCCAGTCAGGCAGCCTGACCACCCGATCCGGTTAGTCGCCTCTTACGACAATAATATACCATTTAGGACATTATAACATAAACAAAGGCGATAGATCAGCGGCAGTGAGTGAGGTCAGATTTAACGTCACCTCGGCTATATTTCAGCCATATAGTGACGAGAAAGGTTTTGGGTACACAATAAATATAACTGGTTAAAGTATCAGTCATCGAAGGACTGTAAAATAACTAGAATGGTGAATTACAGATGGTGTCTAAAACTAGCATGTAAATCTAAAACTATTTTATTTACAAAGACAATACAAGATAAAAAACAGGCTATAGGTCGCCAACAACTGAAGGTAGATCACCATACTAGGGTCCATGGGGACTTACAGTACTTTTGCTACCTGCATGGACCCTAGTTGGACTTACACCGTATCACCAGCAACTGGAAGCAGATGTCTGTGACTTTTGCTACTTGTGGACTCCAGCCGGATTTACACCATCCCTTTAGCTGTTGGCAATTTAGACGAATCTACCATACAATAAAAGAACACATTTTTTCGCCGCTAGCGATTGTACTGAGCTTTAGCCATTAGTAAAATCAACGACTATTCTACGACTAAACAGGAGGATAGTAATTTTACAATTTTTAACCCATTCGAGGATAAAGCCACTAAAAACCTCGTCTGCTAATTTAATCTACCCACTATGAAACGTCATTTATTTTTATACAAAAACATCTTATTAAATATGTTTCAATTAATTCTATTTCTTTTAAGAACTCAATAATTAAATGAGCACTAGTTCCATTTAAAAGATCCTTAACAGAAGATGATTTGAAATATTTATCACTTCTTTCCTTGTGACGGAAAAATCAATACAGTCAAGCAGGATATGCTTGACCGTGATTCTTTCATCATGCAAAATGGAGGATCCTCACCTTTCAGTAGGTACTCATAAGTATATCTAGTATGGCTAATACGGCAACGTCTTAATATGACCTTCTTCAAATTCTCAAATCACATCCCCGATGTAACATCTAATCACAGGTATATAATCACTGTTACGGATAACAAGTGGTGTCACTGATTTGTTGAGTGCTGCTTTGGCCGCAGCATCAGCCATCATCTTACCTGTGATTGAAACATGACTGGGCAACCAACAGGAGACGATATCGTACTGGCAAGAACAAAGTAATTCAATAATTTCAATTAAAAGTGGATGTTAGAAGGATCGATTTAAATAGCCTGAACACAAGAGAGAGAGAGTCTGAAAAGATAATTAATTGCTTATGTAGTGATTGTTTACTAATAGACAGCTTCAGTTGTAAAAATGAGTGAGTGAGTGAGATAAAATTTAAAGTCTCTTTGGCAATATTTCACAATCGTGACAAAACACAACATATAGATTAACAATAATTAAAGAGAGAGTATAAAATCCTGTCAACGAAGGACAGTAAAACAACTAGAATATCACAGATATACATACAAAACTAGTAATTAAATCTAAAACATTTTTACTATAGGGGACAACACAATATAAAAACAGGCTATATATTGCTTACAACTGAAGGTAGAAGTTGAAAAAAGGAACAGTTATCTGGTAGTCTGGATGATATAGCAGTGGATATAGACACGCACTCATATTTACGAGGCAATATCACGATGAACAGTCACAATGGCTACGTGTGGGCCCGATAGAGGAGTGTGACGTCATTATGTCAAGTAGCCTGAATGTTTGGCAAATTAACAAGTGATATTTCTCGACTGTTGGACAAGTACCATCAAATGAGTGGGGTTGCCATGAGACCTGGGCGTGGTAGGCCTAAAATACTGTAATAAAATATTTTTCTTCTTTTCTTTTTCTCCCTAAAATCTGAACGAGGTATTCCCATTGCATTCGTTACACTATGCAATAAATGCATATGTGCACCATGTAATGAGTAAGTGAATTTAGCTATACGCCGCTTTTAGCAATATTCCAGCAGTATCACGGCGGGGGACACCAGAAATGGGCTTCACACAATGTACCCATGTGGGGAATCGAACCCGGGTCTTCGGCATGACGCGCAAACGCTTTTACCACTAAGCCACCCCACCGCCCCCTCTGTGCCATCAGGAAAATAAGGACGGTCAGTGCAAAGTAATATAACTCAGTTTATTTATTTAAATTATTATCATTCATCATTCAATGTGCTGTCTGTTATATATACCAGATGCCCCCGCATGTCAAATATCCTACCCAAATGAAACTAATTATTACAAAACAAAAGGGGGTTATAAAGTCGCATTATGAAACAAATTAGCTGTCCTTCGGCATGACGTATATGGCTGATATAACACCGATGAGACGTCAGCCGTTAACTCACTCACTCACTCGCCATAGTAACGTAATATTGCGTTTGCATGAGTAAAACAATCCTCACTGCAACCGATGAGCACGAGCAGGACTTCATGTCGTCTCAGGACACGATGACACTCACTCAATGGCACTATAAATTCATTTGTCAACCATACTTTCGGTATGAGTAACCAACAGTGGTGTACGGACAAATAAGGTTGACCTGCTTCCTTATTGATTGCATTTTCGTGTAAGCGCTATAAATATATCGTTCTTTGTATCACTATCATAGGCGTTTCTGGAATAGACATTACACAACATTACGTAAGCAGTCAAACTTGCATTACATACACTATAAATGATATCTCCTTTGAGGTAGGCAAGTCATTCAGACAGAAGTGTTAAGGATTACCGAGACGCATACAAGCGGCTTACACAACCAGAACACAGCAACAATAACACTGATGGGTAGGATAAAACAAATTCGAGGACCTGGACGTGGACGAAAGAGAGGATTTAGAAGCAGAAGAGGATATGATCATAAAACAGGACGCCTTCGTCAGTCTTCGATAAAACGAGATATTCACTCAATTCAAAGAGGTCATCTAATTAACACATCTGATGAGAGAGATATACAAAAGAGATACAATGTGGAAGAGAAGATGGTCATTAGCGAGGATAATGTCATAGACGACAATAAGATTGCAGAAGGGTATATGAGAACAGAAGAGGACATGATCATAGATGAGAATATGATCACAGAAGTGCCTATGATAACAGAGGTGAGTATGATCATGGACAAGGATATGACCATAGAAAATAATATGATCACAGAAGAGAATGTGACGACGAAGACTCTGGTCATGAAGAGATTATGATCCTTGAAGATATCAAAGCCTGGAAAAGTCCCACAGCCTGGAAAAATTACACCCACACATGCTCGCATTATCATTGGAGAATGACCATTGCACTGACAACCACTAGTTAAAAGACGATAGTATTTTTATGATTACACAATGCCATTTAGAAAGTGGTCAAATGTAACATATGTTATATTTGGGATTACACTTTCTTAGTAAAGTACAAATTCTAGTACTTTTTTAGTTGAACCCCATCCGGGATTCGAACCCACACCCTCAGAGTGTGTGATCCTTGAAATTTCATGGGTAGTGTGATAGCTTAAAGTGGCAAGTAATCATTTTGAAACATCACATATACCAGTTATTTGTAAGCAGCGCATGCGTGAAAAGGCATCATATGCAGATACTTACTACCCGTCAACATTAATCGTATTTGGCGACACATCTTTTAGGGAAGATGGGGGAAGTCTGACTTGACCTTTAACAACGCTCTTTATGCAGCCGGGATGCAAATGTACCTGAAACATCAATTGTGAACAAACTAAAGGACACTTAAAATGAGAAAAAAGAATAAAAAAAGGAAAAAAGGGAGAAAAATAAAGGAAAATCAAAACAAAACTAGGAATTCTACCAGCTCTCGGTACACCATGGACATACATACTCTGATGACTTGTTCCAATCGGTATCCCTGAATGACGCGCCATCTCAGTGAAGACTCTGGCATATCTGGCATTAGAAATCAGTTCAACACATCTTTTTGATAACGAGCTTGCTTAAATCTCTTCCCACCAACATATTCCATAGCGTTTATTTCTGGACATGGGCCTATCAGGCCCAGTTCCCCGTTTTTTATTTGGTCTCGGATAGGTTTACACCAACATCAAGGGCAGCATTATGTATAATTTCTGTGGCTGTAAAAACCATGTGTCGACTGAATACCCAAGTATTGAGAATGTTCAAATTCATGAAAATGCCAATTTTTAGCATGGGTACTTTCATCAACATACAGCGCTGCGGAAGGTAAGTTATTTTTACCATTATTATTAACATTTTACAGTTTTTTGTAGTTCATTTTGTCGCTGTTCGGAAACAAAAGCGATTGTTTGTGAAAAATAAAATTTTATGAAATTCTAAGAGAATCAATATATTTGAACTTAGTAATAATTCTAATTAAGTTCTCAATCCCTTTTGAGAAACATTAACATAATGTCAATCCAATGGACCATAACTCTCTTGCAACTTCATGGTCACTGAAGTAGTTGTCCATGGTGACGTTGCGATTGGTTCCAAAGTATGGTTCACAAAGGCTGAGAGTTACCTGACGTCCAAGCCCTACACGTCTTGAGTTCTCATCTTTGCCAAGATATGGAATGCTTTCAGAGTCCACCAGCCAAAACGGTTTCAATCCATATTTATCCAGTTTCATTGGCATATACTGGATGAATCAACATTTCCCACGGAACAGTACCAGCTGCTCATCAACCATAAGATTCAATCATGATATGTAGTAGTGACCTGGAGCAGACTCAGAGATATCCCAATAACTTTTCTCTTCATGAAGTACTCCAGCTTCTCTATTGTCGAAGCTCAATGCCAACATTAGGTGTTGAAATTTCGATACTGTCGCTCTGACTAGAGCTATGCCATACTTCTGCGACCACAAAACATCAGTGTCTGACATATTGTGTTTCAGGTGGTCAAAGGTAAAAATAGTGCCAATGATTGCACGTATTTTAATCCCATGAGTCTCTCTCCATGGTTGTTTTCTTGCCATCCGTCTTCCTTCAATGTTGGTGGAATGTACAATTTGGTGAGCAATAACATCTGGGATGTTTAAAGACTTCAGCTTCAGAGGGTCACATGACTGGCATTAACAACTTTGTGAAGTGGACCACGGAGGATATTCCGTCTCCTTGTACGACCAGTGGGAGGTGGTTCCTTGAACCACTTGCTTTTATCTTTTCCAGTGAAGTAGGTCCTCTCTTCCAGCTGCTCAGGTGCTTATATGCTCCCCACGAACATCATCCATTTGTTCTGAGGAACTGGTTTCGGATCAGGAACCCGCAACATAGTCACTGTTGACCCGCTGTCAGAACACTCTGACATGCATCCACCATCATCATCTTCTTTTAAGACTTTCAAAAACTGTCTAACTACAACGTCCTTTATACATGGAAGACTTATGGCTAATGTCTGATTGCTTAACACCCTATGCCCCGTTAGATCATATGTATGGCAAAACCTGGAAAAAGAAGGGGTGACTGGGCCTCTGAGGCCCATGTTCAGTAATAACCGAGAGATTTCAAAGAATGCTCAATAACCTTTTTTGGTACAGCTGTTAAAATGAATAAAAATGTTGTGCAGGTAACTAAGACGTTGCTCGAGGAATACCTAAAATTTCACTTATAAAACTATATAAATGGGAAAGTGCTGGATGTTTTGAAAGCATCTCCTCGGCCTCTCAGACCCCAGTTGGTGGCTTGAGGGTTAAAGAAAATAAATGACAAGAAAGACGTTCCTGATTGAAGATGTCTACATTTGTGCAAGCTCTCAAAGCCGACAACCCTTCAATCTGGCTTGCTCTCAATATCGGCACAGGAATTTGGTCCCGGCAGAAGCTAGTTAATTTATGTTCATTTACACGCCCTCTAATCTGGCGTCAGTCTATTCCGTATTTCGGCACAACAAAGACCGCCCAATTGACTGTACGGTATTAACGCTCTCTAAACCGGCATCCGGTATCTCAAATCTCCTGTTGGCTGATTGGCTGAACGTGTGTGCTCACAGTCATGGCCAGGTGCAGTTCTTACCAGCCAATTCAGAAATGTTTTGCTGCATGTGGGTTCCAGGGAAATCCATCTGTTGCTGATGAAGAGGAAGATGACAACGATGATTACAACGTCCCACTTGCTGAACCCATCTCAAACATCGCCAAAGGTGTTACAGCAGCAGCCTTTGTTTCCTGCGACATAGATGTACCAACGGAGAATGCAGAAAACAGTGAATGGGAGGCGGAGCTTCTAGCCAGTCTACAACCCAAAAAGCAAACCAATCGTCTGACGAAGATGTCGATCCAGCTGTCACTTCGAGTTGTGCTTGATATGCTGAAAGACATCAGACACTTTGCTTCGACAAGCGAAGTAAGGTTACTCAACAGTTCAGACCTTGCAGACGAGATCTTGAGTCGAGATCAAAGCTAAACTTACTGACGTTTTCACCTCATGAATTATAACGTAAATGGAAGCTGTACTGTACACGTACATTTGTGTTGTATTTTTCTGATGTTATCTTTATTGATGAATAAAGAATATGATGACTATAAACACGTTGTTCAGTCGTATTTTACGGCACACGGAAGATCATTCTCAAGTTGGAAAGGGAAAAGTTATCTAAACCCGCACGCCCTCTATACCGGTCCCAACGGATGCCGGTTAAGAGGGCTTCCACTACATATGAGTGAGTGAGTTAAAATTTAAAGTCACATCGGCAATATATCAGCCATGTCATGACAAAAACAACATATATGTTAACAATAATTAAAGATAGAGTATAAGATCCTGTCAACGAAGGACAGTAAAACAACTAGGATATCACAGATATACATACAAAACTAGTAATTAAATCTAAAACATTTTAACTATAGGGGACAACACAATATAAAAACAGGCTATATATTGCTAACAACTGAAGGTAGAAGTTGTAAAAAAGGAACAGTTATCTGGTAGTCTGGATGATATAGCAGTGGACATAGACACGCACTCATATTTACGAGGCAATATCACGATGAACAGACACAATGGCTACGTGTGGGCCCGATAGAGGAGTGTGACGTCATTATGTCAAGTAGCCTGAATGCTTGGCAAATTAACAAGTGATATTTCTCGACTGTTGGACAAGTACCATCAAATGAGTGGGGTTGCCATGAGACCTGGGCGTGGTAGGCCTAAAATACTGTAATAAAATATTTTTCTTCTTTTCTTTTTCTCTCCTAAAATCTGAACGAGGTCGTCCCATTGCATTCGTTACACTATGCAATAAATGCATATCTGCTCCGTGTATTAAGTAAGTGAATTTAGCTATATACCGCTTTTAGCAATATTCCAGCAGTATCACGGCGGGGGACACCAGAAATGGGCTTCACACAATGTACCCATGTGGGGAATCGAACCCGGGTCTTCGGCATGACGCGCAAACGCTTTTACCACTAAGCCACCCCACTGCCCCCTCTGTGCCATCAGGAAAATAAGGACGGTCAGTGCAACGCAATATAACTCAGTTTATTTATTTAAATTATCATCATTCATCATTCAATGTGCCGTCTGTTATATATAGCAGATGACCCTGCATGTCAAATATCCTACCCAAATGAACATAATTATTACAAAACAAAAGGGGGTTATAAAGTCGCATTATGAAACAAATTAGCTGTCCTTCGGCATGACGTATATGGCTGATATAACACCGATGAGACGTCAGACGTAACTCACTCACTCACTCGCCATAGTAACGTAATATTGCGTTTGCATGAGTGAAACACAATCCTCACTGCAACCGATGAGCACGAGCAGGACTTCATGTCGTCTCAGGACACGATGACACTCACTCAATGGCACTATAAATTCATTTGTCAACAATACTTTCGGTATGAGTAACCAGCAGTGGTGTATTGACAAATAAGGTTGACCTGCTTCCTTATTGATTGCATTTTCGTGTAAGCGCTATAAATATATCGTTCTTTGTATCACTATCATAGGCGTTTCTGGAATAGACATTACACAACATTACGTAAGCAGTCAAACTTGCATTACATACACTATAAATGATATCTCCTTTGAGGTAGGCAAGTCATTCAGACAGAAGTGTTAAGGATTACCGAGACGCATACAAGCGGCTTACACAACCAGAACACAGCAACAACAACACTGATGGGTAGGATAAAACAAATTCGAGGACCTGGACGTGGACGAAAGAGAGGATTTAGAAGCAGAAGAGGATGCCATCTTAGAGGTGGATATAGCCATAAAGCAGGACGCCTTCGTCAGTTCTTGATAAAACGAGATATTCGTTCAACTCAAGGACGACATCTAATTAACACATCTGATTTGAGAGAGATGCAAAAGAGATGCAATGTGGAATCATGGATCATGGAGGAGGATATGATCATTAACGATATTCTGAACACAGAGGAGAACATGATAACAGAGGTGAGTATGATCATAGACGACAATCCGATCATGATCATAGACAAGGATATGACCATAGAAAAGAATATGATCACAAACGAGAATGTGACGACGAAGACTCCGGTCATGAAAGAGATTATAATCCTTGAAGATATCAAAGCCTGGAAATGTCCTGAGAAAGTAAGGATGTTCACAAAATTTGATCACAACCGCTACGTCTTTTGAACAAAATATAGTTGCCTTATTATGTAGAAATATATCACAATGAATTAGTGAGTTTGATTTTTTAACCATATTACAATGTCTGGTAAAAGTAGAGTCTGACAAGGTACTGCTGGCACTGCTTCTACGCAAATGATATACTAAAAGTTATTTGTTTCGGTTATAATTTCAGATTTGTTTCAATCTTTTGTCGTCATATTTACAATATTGGCTTGTGACTTTCATATTGTAGTCAAGGATATCTGTGGCGAATATGTGAGGATATAATGTGTAAACATTTTAGCGTCTTCTGTGGCTACCGAGACAAAATTACACCCACACATGCTCGCATTATCATTGGAGAATGACCATTGCACTGACAACCACTAGTTAAAAGACGATAGTATTTTCATGATTACACAATGCCATTTAGAAAGTGGTCAAATGTAACATATGTTATATTTGGGATTACACTTTCTTAGTAAAGTACAAATTCTAGTACTTTTTTAGTTGAACCCCATCCGGGATTCGAACCCACACCCTCAGAGTGTGTGATCCTTGAATTGCATGGGTAGTGTGATAGCTTAAAGTGGCAAGTAATCATTTTGAAACATCACGTACACCAGTTATTTGTAAGCAGCGCATGCGTGAAAAGGCATCATATGCAGATACTTACTACCCGTCAACATTAATCGTATTTGGCGACACATCTTTTAGGGAAGATGGGGGAAGTCTGACTTGACCTTAAACAACACTCTTTATGCAGCCGAGATGCAAATGTACCTGAAACATCAATTGTGAACAAACTCAAGGACACTTAAAATGAAAAAAAAAGAATAAAAAAAGGAAAAAAGGAGAAAAAAAGAGGAAAAAACAAAACAAAACTAGGAATTCTACCAGCTCTCGGTACACCATGGACATACATACTCTGATGACTTGTTCCAATCGGTATCCCTGAATGACGCGCCATCTCAACGAAGACTCTGGCATATCTGGCATTAGAAATCAGTTCAACACATCTTTTTGACAACGACCTTGCTTAAAGAAAATAAATGACAAGAAAGACGTTCCTAATTGAAGATGTCTACATTTGTGCAAGCTCTCAAAACCGGCAGCCCTCCAATCTGCCTTGCTCTCAATATCGGCACAGGAATTTGGTGTCGGCAGAAGCTAGTGAATTTATGTTCATTTACACGCCGTCTAATCCGGCGTTAGTCTATTCCGTATTTCGGCACAACAAAGACCGTCCAATTGACTGTACAGTATTAACGCTCTCTAAACCGGCATCCGATATCTCAAATCTCCTGTTGGCTGATTGGCTGAACGTGTGTGCTCACAGTCATGGCCTGGTGCAGTTCTTACCAGCCAATTCAAAAATGTTTTGCTGCATGTGGGTTCCAGGGAAATCCATCTGTTGCTGATGAGGAGGAAGATGACAACGATGATGACAACGTCCCACTTGCTGAACCCATCTCAAACATCGCCAAAGGTGTTACAGCAGCAGCCTTTGTTTCTTGTGACATAGATGTACCAACGGAGAAACCAGAAACCAGTGAATGGGAGGCGGAGCTTCTAGCCAGTCTACAACCCAAGAAGCAAACCAATCGTCTGACGAAGATGTCGATCCAGCTGTCACTTCGAGTTGTGCTTGATATGCAGAAAGACATCAGATACTTTGCTTCGACAAACGAAGTAAGGTTACTCAACAGTTCAGACCTTGCAGACGAGATCTTGAGTCGAGATCAAAGCTAAACTTACTGACGTTTTCACCTCATGAATTATAACGTAAATGGAAGCTGTACTGTACACGTTCATTTGTGTTGTATTTTTCTGATGTTATCTTTATTGATGAATAAAGAATATGATGACTAAAAACACGTTGTTCAGTCGTATGTTACGGCATACGGAAGATCATTCTCAGGTTGGAAAGGGAAAAGTTCTCTAAACCGGCACGCCCTCTATACCGGCATTTTTAGAGGGCTTCCACTACATATGAGTGAGTGAGTTAAAATTTAAAGTCACATCGGCAATATTTCAGCCATATCGCGACTAAAAAAGTTGTAAATTTATAAATGTATAAAATAAAGTGAGTTCTAAGAAGCCTAGCGGTTAGAACAATCGAAAAAAACAAACATTATCAGACAATAAAGGCATAGTTTTTTGATGACGTAACAATTGAATGACGTTATCCCGTCACTGCGCCATTCTAGTGTGCCCCCTCGTAATCGAACCATTTTACATTACGTAACAATGTAAGCGACGTCACGATGCATGTCAGTTGTCATCGCCTCGTACCGCCTCCTACAGTAAACTGCTCCGTTGCATCTCGTTTTTTGGTTTGCAGTTTCTTCGCGCAGCTAACATCACTGGAAGAAACATTACGTTTATGTTTTACGACGGTTAAAATGTGTCAGTTCGACTCACATTTTTTCAGCGACACAATAACGTTCGCAATGTTTACATTCCCACAATGCAATCGTGGAATGTCGCTTGCCTACTCAGCTTCATCTGGATTTACTGGTCTAAACTTACGTTGGTGGTGGAAATGCGACATTCGTATTGCCCCACATGGTGTACGTTAATGGCAGATGCAATTAAAATAATTCAGAGAAGATATTTAAACCGTCATCAAACTGTTATCATTGTTTTTTCTGGTAACGTCTTAACGCAGGGGGGCAGACACATCAATAGAACAGCACGCCAGTTAGCTCTGTGCGAGGATTCTTAATTTAGGTCACCGATACCGTCGTTTGTTTTCTGCCTTAAATTAATCTTAATTATCATAAGAAAGCATTAAATTTGGCATCTTAGAAAAGAAATACAGTTCGCTCTACCACCATATATAGTGTAATAAAGTACGCTTTCGCCCTGGGCCCGGTTGTTCAAAGCACCGTTTTTTTAACGTACCGTTAAACACTAACGACCCGTTAAATAGCTAACGAAAAGTTAGTTAACAGTACGTTAAAATTTGGTTGCTGGAAGGTGTTTTTAACAGACCGTTAACTAATGGTATGATTTGAGGTTAACAGCCTGTTAAGGACCTAACCATTACCCTGAATTACTTGCTTACTGTCCCATGATTCCCTGTCAAAATGGCATCGAAACAAAAAGCACCTGAAATGACCCCAGTAACCTCTGATTGTAAAAAAAAAAAAAGAAGAACAAATTTCAGTGCTGAAGAAGAGAATGTCATTCAGGCAATGTTTCAGGAAAATGCTGAGATTCTTAATAAAAAATTCAGCAATGAGGTGACTAATAAGGGCAAGGCTGCAATCTGGCAGAAAATAACAGATTGTTTAAACAACAAAGGCGTTTGCTGCCGTACTGTGGATCAAGTTAAGGAAATATGGGGAAACATGGCCCGAAAAGCAAAAAAGACATTCAGCTATTACAGGATGCAGCAAAGGAAGACGGGAGGAGGGCCGCCACCCCAGAGATGAGCCAGGCAACGGCAACCATCATAGATTCCATGAAGGATACAGCCTCTTTCAGCGGCGTTCCTGGTTGGATGGAAACTGAAATAAGCCCTTGTGGTAAGAAATAAGAGGCCTAAATATAAGTACATGTTGATGTTATGATAAATTCAGTCAATTGACAATATTTTTAACGAAATAAAGTTTGATTTTCCTGGCATAAAATGCACAAAATTCGATGTTAAGTACCACTATGTGGTCTGATTTAATCTAAGTTGACCATCGCTTACCATCGATCTAAATTGTGTAAGATATATGATTACAACTGTCATAAAACTAATAAGAAACAACTCGCAACAACTCCTAAGAATTAAACTTACCAATTCATGTTATATTGTGGTAAACTAACAGCTTGTTCCAGATATTTTAACAGTAGCGTCCGTGCTAACATGTTTTGAGAGGAAGAGGAAGTGACAATCAGCGCCACCGTTGAACCTCAGTTATACATTCAGACTATAACTAGCCTGTTTCAGAAAAGTTTACATGCTACTAATTACATATAATTTTCTATCCCACCACATTTGTATTACAATAAATTCAATGAATTAATATTTCATAGTATGCAGATGATACAAAAATGTTAGGCATGATGAAATATCCCAGTTTTCAACGATGCAAGACAAAAACGTAATTTTCATCATTAATGTCATTTAAAGTTTTTATTTTACTAACCTTGAGTTATCAAGTGTTTTCTCCAAATATAACGTTGATGTCATCGTAATATCCCATAGGCGTAACTGTTGCCGCTCCCCACATCTGGTGATTTAGTATGGGTTGTCGACGGTGGTGTTTGGAAGAGCCTTATTTATCGCTCCGTAGAGAGAGTTGTGATCCTATTTATAGATTGCCTGTCACTAGTAGACGACCGATGTTACTGATTTTACTAAGCAATACGATTGCTATTATTTAATTTTGGCAGTTTGTTTTGCATCAATAATGATATGAATGATCTAAAGATACTGATTTAAAAAAAAAAAAAAAACTAACCTTCCGGCTTTCCGTTGTGAGTAAAATTTCTCAAGACAGAGATTGGGCATCCACTCAATCGATGACACTTTCACGCGCAATTTAATAGCACAGATTTATCTGAAAAATAGAAATAAATATCTGTCTTGTATTTCATCAAGGTTATGTTTTATTGCATGGAGAGTGAAAATACATATGTTACATTATAATTTCAGCTTGAATAACAAATCAATTATGATTGTGAATGACCATAAATCATAGTAATTTCACAGCTTCAAAGGTAGCAATATATCTAATGACTACTAAGTCATGATAACACACAAAACAAATGTATTCACTTGAATTGAATAAATGATTTTATTAAATGTATGAAAGTTGTGAATGAAGACATTATGTTAGCATTATATATACAAATCTATACAGATAATGTATTTATTCTGTACAACTTCATTTCTTATGAAAGAAAATATAATAATGATATGAAACTGATTAACAATTTTAAATTGTTGATTCTAAATATAGAAAGTCATTATAAAAATAACAAGACATCATGTTGCAGATTAAAAAAAACAGTTACTAAATTGAACTTTATAAGTA